ATGCCTTCCCTGGGTAAGCCCTGCTCACCTTATCAAATAAACGGCTGGAAGGTTGTAGATCAGGGTCTGTGTTCAGGGCATTGCTTTAAGCATGTTGTTGTTATATCTATTCCAAGTGGAGTTTTTGCATGTTCTTAGAATTAAAGATGTGCTTAAGTGCAGGATAGGATGCTTATCTCAGGATAGGGATGAGCTGTTTTAGAGTCCAGATATACCCATGCATGGGTATTTTATTCTCCTCTTTGGCAATCGCTTTCTCTCTGTATTCTCGAGAGAGATGAAGCTAATATAGCTTCCTTCTATTTACTTGCTCCTGTCTCATAGCAACACCGTCGAGGTCATTGCTGCTCTCTTGTGACAGTCTTTTACATTAAAAGCGCAAGATGCAGTCTTACAGTGCCTGGGGAATTAGAGTTAAATTTCTTAACTAAGGAAAGAAACGTACAGGTTTAAATGTCTAAAAAGATCTGAAGTGGATAGCCATATACTGACATTCAGATTGTACTTGTCATCTATGTATAAACAATATATATCTCTCTGAATCTGTTGCCGGTATGAATTGAGGAATTGCTGCTCTCTGTGTAAAGCAGAAAACTGCATGTCGAAGTTCTGATTCTGCAAAGACTTGCCCGTACAGAACAATTTGCATAGTCACTGCCGTAGCAAAGGGCGTTCTACAGCTTGTCTGGTATTAATCTGTTCTGTTCATTACTCATGCTACTCTTAAAAGCCCAGTGAAATATAAGCATATTTGGAGTTCACAAAATTAAAATCTTAACACCTTTTCTCCTGCTGTATTTATGCTCCCCATCTTACTTCGTTCTGTGTGGAGCTGAACTCTGATCCATGCTACTTGACAGCTTTCTATACGTAAGGGGAAGCCAAACCTCTTTCTATCCCTAGAGCCTTTAACTGGCTTCCCCTCTCTGAGTTTAAAAGTTGCTGCTGCTTCTAGATGCGTGCTTCTTCCAAACCAGGGCACTCCAACTTGCGTATTTTTGGAGTACATCTCTAAACTTTAGACAGAAATTTTTTCACTGGAAACTATTTGGGTACCCAACTATATTTGTGGGTAAGGAAGATGCCCCAGAAATGTTTGCATCCATGTAGAAGAGAAGCTCCTTCCATCCTGATATGTGAGCTTCAAACTGGGCTAGTTACCACATGGTTAAATTCATTTAGAACAAACTGGGAGAACGTTGGACTCAAAACTACCATAGCTACTCTTTTGACAGCCACACTGCTGCATAGCATCTGCAGGCTAAACTGATGTTGCATGAGCTGGTTTGCTTATCTGGTGAAAGACTAATGTGTTTGGATGCTGCATGTTAGCTCATCCATGAAAACCAACAGTCCGTGTGCTTTCGGACTGTGCGAAATGTGAGATAATCTGATTTTAGCTTAACTTTGCTCCATTGCAGGCCAACAGAGTTTCCCTGTTCTTTTATCTCTGTAGACTAAAAGCACGCCATTGATTAAGTTACAAGAGCTAAGTTGTTGCATGGTAACTTAATCATGTACCTGAGCCCTCATGTACTTCATCAGCTATGTGCATCTAAACCAGCCCTACGAGTGGCTGCGCTGTGGGAAGGTTCTTAACTTCCTGGTGGTCTTAACTGCCACACCATGTTTGCACAGCATGCATGGAATAAAAAAGTGCTCAATACTTTGTTCTTCTGTTTGTGTTCAGTTTACCTAAGTTAGTCAAGAGAATTCTGCGTAGTTTGGAGAAGCACTGACTAGGAGCGGCCCAGGAGGTGATGAGGAAACGGGGACTTGTAGCGTTGTCTGATGCTACTGTCAGTGTACACTGGGAGACTCCTGTATTGCTTTGCAGCTGTGCATCAGAAACGCCTGTCTCTCTTGAAGTGTACCTTTTATTGACTCAGTCACAAAGGTGAAATAAAGATAGCTATTTGAAAGCCTGTGTTGTGATGGTTTGTGAAAGATTAACTTAATCTTCATTTTATTTCTAGCACAGGTGCCTTCATTTAAAGAGCTCAGTACTTACAAAGGCCTGTAACTTTCCAAAACATCTCAACTCCCTTCTAGATACTGAAGTCAAATGATAATTTATACCAATAATTTTCACATAGAGTCTTTTCTTGAAAAACATGGTCCTCTCTTCGCACATATTTGTCTGTATGAATAGCAAGTATGCTTTCACTAGCAAGTTAGCAATTACTTCTGTGGAAGATACTGGAAGAATTGAAAGTAAATTTGCAAAGCTGCAGCTGAGCTTTTCATAAAGACAGTGATCTCATTTTGAGAATAGAAGGGAATTCACCAAAAATAGTGTGAATAATTCTTCAGCTGAAATAACTCAAAAACTGCAATTGTATGCAGAATTATTTTTGCATGTTTATGATGTAAAACATTGCATACAAGGGATAATTATATGACATTTTCAAGAATAATGGAGTTTGGTATTTGCATTGCAGCAGTAACTGAAGTTTTCAGGTATCAAGACACTATTACACTGTGCATGTTGAATAAATGTAATGAGAGACAATTGCTCTGCAGAGAGCTTGCATCTTACTGAGGAAGAAAGTATTCTCATTTCAAAAAGAGAAGTAACAGTTTCTTGCTGAGGATCTGATGTTAAACCAAGTCTACGCTCGATCTTAAAGAAAAGAAACAAGTGGGTTTTTTAATTTTGTAAGTTCTCGTGTGCACTCACGGGTAAGTGAAATGCAGTGAAGAGTGGCAATCCCAAAAGCAAAGACTTTGGGCTTTTTCTTCTCGGTGAAATTCATTGCATCAGGAGAAGCTAAGCTTGATCACAGATTCTGGGACTGTTCTTGGAATTGCTTGTGAGTGAGGCCCATCTAGAGATGTCAGCCTGTTAAGTGCAGTGTAGCACGTGGTACAAAGCTGTATATATTTAGCAATCTGACACTCCGAAGGTGAGCTAAATTCTGGTTTTAATTAACATGTGATTAGCATAATTGTGTAGCTTTAAATTAGATACTACAGAAAACAGTATCTGAAGATTCAGAGGGTTTCCCTGAAAACAAGGTTAATAGCTTCTTCACAGGGTCTCTCTCCGCATACAAAAAGACTCATGAACTGTTCTCATGTCTGACTTAAGCTGAGGACTCTGGACTGTGTACTGATTAACTGTGAATTCTTTTATGTCATGGGGTGATGCAGATGTCTTGGCTTACGGCATGCACAAATTAAATCAACAAGGTTTTGCCTGTGACATAAACTGTAAAATACATCAACGGCACAGCACTGGCTCTGCTGCGCAGTCGGTAGCCCCCGGCAGAGGGAGCAGGCAGCTGGGAGCAGTTGATGTTTAAAGCACTCATGAGGCTTGTGAGTGCTTGCCAGTCAGTATCTGCAAACAAAGCCTTATGTGCAGGTAACTAAAAGATGAAGCAAAGTCTGGCAAGTGGGTCTGTACAGGTAATCGGCGACAAGCCCTGTTTTTCTTCTGTAGAGCAATAATAAGTACGCTAGCTTAATCCCTTTGAGGTGAGACTGCTTAGGATCTTGCTTGTAACATTGTTCTCCTTTGGGGGTTTTTTGTGCACCTATTCACATTATTTTAATGTTTCTCTTCTGCTCTTCCCCTTCCCCCTGTTTCAGTGACTGTATTTTTTGGAAATGTTGAATATCTCAGTCTCTTGATTTTGGTGGGAGCTTCTCCTTTCTGAGGTGAACTGTTGTGCTGGAATCTGCTGGGTGTTATCTCTTGAAAAGCTTGCTTTACAGACTGGGAGTGCAGCATATTCCTAGGGTAGGAGCGTGTTTGGTTTTCCATCACTTGCATGTATTTCTGTCTGCAAACAGCAATTCCCAAGTTTCCAGTCTTCCATACTTCCCACGCAGTTCATGAGATGTCCTGTTTAATTGTCTGCTAATCCTCCTCTCTTGGTTGAATTTTGAGAGCTGCTGATAGATGCTTTGTTTTACCATTGTCTTGTGTTTTGCCACCTGATATATCCTAAATAATTTACTTTTTCTCACCAGCTGTAGCAAGATTATAGGCTTCTTACAGCACTTCCTTTAGAACATAAATACACAACAGAGCTCTTGAACTTGGATTTTTGCAGCCGGGCTTAAGCTAATGAAGTTGGTGCTTTATACGAGTCACGTTAAAGACTCACTGCTTCATGGCTCCGTGGCTCATGCAGCGAGATTGTTATAGAGTTGTAGGACAACATGCAGGAAATGGTGTTTCCTTTGAGATTTGCCCTGTTAAAGGCAAAATGGTGAAAACTGAAGTCAGAGCTTTGCTTAAAGACCAAGAATGGCTTTGTGCTAATTGGGGTCTTGGCTGTCTTACTCATCAGCATGCTGGAAAGAAGCTGGACTGTGTCAAAAAAAGCATTTGCATAATGGTCTTCCAACTTTGACAATGAAATATAATGAGCTTTTTTCCCTTGTCTCACTTCTGACCCGAGTATGTGTCTGGATTTTACAGGATTCTGTGTGTGGTTTGTATCGTCATCATTATGACAAACTTCATATCCCTGTGACTTGAGAGATCTCTTGCCTGCCTGTTGGTTGCTTTCTTTTGCTTCCTGATGAAACCCTGGGTAGTTGATTTGAACAATAGAAGTTACAGAAAGGAGTTCCTGTTAATCTGAGACCTGTTACTAGATCTGTCATTTAGACGACTCACTTCAGGATGTCGAGGGAAAATGGGTTCTGTAGTAAGCATTTTGATTTTTTTGGTTAAATGTTGTGGTTGATTTTTCACATGAGGAAAATGTATATTGTTATCTTGAGAGAGCAAAAGCAGCAGTTGTGGAAGCGTGGATTTCCAAATCCTGTTTTTCTTAAACACTCTTCTACCAGTTACAGCCTCTTACTTAACTGTTCGCTGTAATCTTTAGAATAGACTTGTGAAACTGCAGTTGCTTGGCCTCGCAGGTATTGTAGCATCTATAGGGGATTTCTGCTCTGGTGTAGAAAATAACCACAAGTTACTTTGTGGCCCAGTAACACCTGGCTATTACCTGGCCTAAATAGCACCTGAAAGAGGTAAGTAGATAGCATCTGACATCTCTGGGGAAACCAGCTACAAACACCAAAACGTGCATTTTAAGAGTGTTTCATAAGGCTGGACAGCAAAGGTCATATTGGTGGGTAAAGGGTTGCATTTGGTTTAAAAGTACTGGGATGGGATGGTCAGCATTTGTAGGCGTACGCTGATCAATTTTATTTCTTGCCTATTGAAATTGATTATGTCTCCAACTTTCTTTCAGGGTTTCCACGGTCCTTATCCCTTCGGACAGTCTTAAAACACAAAAACACAAAACGGGTATCGAGAAGAGGAGAATTTAACAAAGAACTGACTTTTGGGGGAAGGGAGGGGGATTCATGTGCCAGACAGACACAACGTGGACCCCCCCCTTCTCTGCCTCCGTGTTCTGGATAAAGAAGAAAAAACAAAAGCCCACTAACTAAGACTAGTTGTTTCCAGAGAAAAATACAAAATCTAAGTACGCATGCGTGAATGCTGGATTTCAGGAGTGTTGTTAAATGCTATGAGGAGGAAAATATACCAACACCATGGGGTTTTTTTTAGAAATCATTCTCACACATAATTAGGTAGCTTAAAAAGTTTAAAAAATGAAAATGAAAAAGCCATCTTTAAAAAAAAAATATTTTGCCTACAGAGTGATTGTAGTTTGAGCAAATGTTTAATTTCTGTTTGTTTCTTGTTCATATTTTTTTAAATAAGGGACAGCGTGCATTTTTATGGAACTGTTATGTTTTGCTTGCTACCGAATGGGAATTTGCTTAGCATCTTCAGAGGTTTGTGCAGTGACTTCTTTTTGTCAGACATTTTTTAATGACAGGTTGGGTCTGCACCCAGCTCTGCATTTTTAATATCATCTGCTGGTTTTAGTTACCAACTTTTTAATCTTTTTTTTTTTTTCCTTTTGGTTTGGGTGTTGCTGTTAGTTGTCCTGCATGTCATTGGAAACCATGCTGAAGACCAGGTCTCAGTATCAAAGTTGGAGAGAGAGACTCTGGGACTTCTAGGATAAAATGGAGGGCTCATTTCCCTTCCCCTTGTACATGAAGTGCACACAAATACACACCCATATTAATAAGAAACAGATTTATTAAAGTTCCAGAGCTGTCCTATGTGGTTAGCATTTTAAAATACCTTTTTGTTAACTCTTGATGTACAGTAGCTGTGCCTAGAGCAACCAAGCAAGTGTATCAGTCTTGTGCCAAGAGGAAACTCTTTTTCTGTAGCTGTAATTCACTTGATAGTAGATGCAAAGTCATGGCCTTTTAATTTTGAATCTCCCATCTCTCTCTTATAGAGTATAATTTTGCATTCATTTCTCCTGTGATAAAGTATTAGCATAGAGGCTAATTGTTTGTGTTTTTGAATGCAGAGCATGAGTTAGCATCATCAGCTGGATTCCACTCTGTCGCCTTGTATTCATTCGCCTTTATTGTCCTGGCTTGTAGCTTCGTTGAGGCTCTTACCTTCTAAATGGGCTCTCCAGGGCTTGATATTAGAGGAGGAATTGCCTCTCTAAGGATTCGGGTTGCTCTGCTGTTTCTCCAATGTATTTTCCTCCAGTTATGGATTGGGAAGTCCAGTGTGAGGGGAGAGAGAATGGCCTCAAGTGCTGTGGTGGATTTCTAAAGTGCTGTGTCACCTC